TTTGAGAATTCAAAACAAAGATGATTGATTAAATCCTGAGTTAGGGCTTCTCTTGGAAAGAAAAAAAGCTTATTTATGTTTGCATTTCCTGTAGCTTTTCATTGTTATTCTGAGAGAATTTCAAGAAAATTGTATTTTTGATAGTGTAGTTTAAATATCTATTGTTACTTATACTGATTAGCAATATTGTATTTTAATGTACTTATTAATAGTATTTCCTGGGTTTTTTGGTGACTGAGTTGGTATTCCACCTCAGTTTTTATAAGTGTCGATGTTCATAAACAAATCTTTAGAGCTGCTCTTGGTTAGAAAAATCTTACCATCTTCAGGTGCACATTTCCACCCTAGATTTTATTGTTGCATCTTGCATTTGATCTGTTTTATTATTTAAAAGAAAGTCCTCAAAAAATGCAGTGTAGCAGTTATCTTTAATGCATGCTTTCAAATTACTGTTCGATTTAGTAGATTTTGTTTTCTGGAGATTGCCAGTTAAAATCTAATTTTATTTTCTTGTTTATTTCTCTTTTTGTTACAACTATTGGGTCAATTTCAGTCTTTTTCCAGTTCAGATTTCCAGAGTTTCACTAAATAGCTTATAATTATTTTTTTTCATGCTCTGATAAATTTTAAATGCTCTTAGCGGCTATAAGTGTAATCTGTGTGTTTGGGGAAATGATCCAGAAGTTAGTGTTTAGCAAGTGAAGCTATATCTAATATTTTCTAAGTCTTTAATTGACTTTTTACTGATAATAAAATATGTGACATTTTCTATTACATAATTGGAATAAAATAATAAATTATTTTAATTTTCATTCCTTGTCACACATCCAGCATAAGAAGGGAAGTAGCCTTTCCTTTGGTTCTGTTAACCTAACTGTTTGGATGTAATTTCACCCTTCATATATAGGCTTAATGGCTAGGGTTTGTTTTGGTAGCTTTTCTTTCACAAAGGGTGGGTTGTTTCTTTTGAATACTGTGTGATCTTTTTGCATTTTAAAAAGTCTTTGCTATATGTAGTGCATGTTCCTGGGGATAGTCAATTTTCTTAACTTCTGTAAAGAACAAAAAAGATTAAATAATCTAGTTTATGTAGCTGGGTGGGAGGGGTTTGTTGTTGTGAGGTTTTTAAATTAAAGTTTATTTAAAGAAGTTTATTACCTGTAAAAGTCTGGATAAAGTCCAATAGAAATCTGGAAGTTGCCATTTAAAAACAATTTTTTCTTGTTTTCTTCTGTCTGCATCCACTAGAAAAATACTCTGGAGGAATTTCACTGGGGAATAATTATATCTGCAGGAGACATTTCGTTTTAATTGCTATCAGGTAGTGATTGGTTTGTGATCTGACAAAAAGGCTTGCACTGTTCTTTTAAAATATCCTATATAATATGCTATATAACTGTTTCTGTTGCATATATGTATGTGTAATTATCTCTTAATCTTATTTAAACTTAGTTCTAGCACACTGTGTTGATGAATACTTCAGGTTTATATGATTTATGGGGTGTCTCGTATGTTTAATGTTATTCCTCAATTTACTGACTATTCTCCTGAGGTTTTCTTTCTTGTTAAGCCATAAATTGGATGATCTACTTTTTGTATGTATCATACATTCAATTGTATTTCTGTCATATCCTCTTATGTTGTATTCCTGTATACGCAAAAAAAAAAAAAAAAAAATCTGTCCTTTTTACTGTTTCAAGTGTAGACATTCGAAGTTTTAATGACTGATTGCCACTCTTTAGAATCCTTCTATTTTTACGGTATCTTTTTGAGATTACTTTGCCCAAATTGAATGTGTATTATCGTATCAAATACATTGGCATTTTTTTCTTTAATTTTCTACCTCACTTTGCATATTACCGAGGATAATCAGAAAGTGACCATAGGTATTATGAAGAGTTTTTATGGGGTTTTGAGTTTTCTGTTCCTTTTGTTGGGTTTTTTGTTTTGGTTTGGGTTTTTTCCCCACCAAACTGTCTGGATTGTGGTCAATTCATTTTGTTTGTTAATTTTTTTCTGGATTAATGGCAATAGGAGCTTCCTCTTTTTGAAGAAAGTAGTTTACAGTTCAGTGTAATTGCTGTATATTTATCACTTGGCACCTTCTGCTTATTCTTTCTTCCCCATTTTCCATAGTGTTGCAGTATCTTCACATGTTGACATTTACTAAAATATTTCCAGGAGACCTCTCTGTGTTCCTTTACTCTTTGAACTTCATGGACCTCCCTTTGGGCTGTTTCTGATCAGTGCCACTGTTCAATGTATTGTTCCAAAAGGCTTTGTCAAAAAAACTTGTGTTAAGAAGTTTTTGTTAATTATGCAGCTTGGTGTTTCTAATTTACTAGAAATTTTTTTAAAATATAAATTAAAGTATTTGACTTTACTATATTGACGCTTTACTAACTCAGCTTTATCACCCTTGGAATTTTATGATATTTAATTACTTTCATCATTTTACCTGTAGCTCTGAGAACAAAGCTCACAAGTCCATAATTCCTAGAATTGGTCCTAGTACTTTTTTTATAAGTAGAGGTACAGTGTTTGTCTGCCTTCTAGTCATATGATAGGGCAGTTCCTTTTGATGGAAGATTGAATTTTTTTTAGCCGCTTGGACCTTTTTCTTGCATTATTTTCAATAATCTGATAGGGATTCACACAGATCTTTGAGCTATTTCCATATCCAGAAGCTCCTGTTGAGGAATTACTTTCTGGTGGTACCTTTTTTAAAGTGTTTTTAGTTGCTCTGTCAGTTGTCTTAATTCCCTGTGGTTTGTGAAATCTCTTGCATGTTTTTGTATCTAAAGTCCTTAAACACCACTTTTTTCTTCCCTGTCCTTGCATGTCTACACTCTCTCATGCTGTCTTTTTGATAACTGCCGTGTTTTTCTTGAAGAATAGTTGTTTTGAAAACTTCAGACTCAATAGAGTTGGAATATATATGGTTTTGTCTAAATAGTCCTTGGAGCTTTTTTTGTCCATCTTACCACAGATAGGGGCGTGCCCGTGTTTGTAAAATAGTATATGCAGGATAGCTAGAATCTAGGTATGAACTAATCTTTAGTACTTCATTGGACTTTGTAATGTTTTATGCTTGGAATTAAAGAAATTAATTTTAATTCTGAAAACATTTCAGCTTGGATGATTTTTGACTTTGCTCTCAGTTTGCTGGCATGGAACTGCTCTGAGGCTGATGTGGGACGAGCTCTAACTGTTCATGTGGAGGTTACCAAGTGTATTGGTTTTGCTAGTATTCCTAAACATACTTTCCAAATAAAAATGAAAATAGTCTGTTTGCTTTCTTTTTTGTTTGTTTCTGTGTGTATCAGTTTTAGATAATTTCTGTTAGATTCTGTTAGACGCAGAATTAGAATAATAGTGGATTTTGAAGGTGAAGGGACAGAAGACCTAACTGAGGTGAAACAGCCTTGCCTTGGTTGCTCACTAGTGGAGGAAGAACAAGCAAAATGGAGCAGCATTTCAGTCACAGTGTTCAGAGGGTAGAGCTGCCTTTCACTCTTACCTTCTTCACCTCCTGCCACTTCTGCTATAGGCTGAGGAAGGAACTTTGCTTATAAAATGTCATTCTCTTCATCGTGGAGGAATGAAAGGAATTTAGTAAGAGAAGTAGCCTACTTGATTATATTTTTCTTCCTCTCTTTCCTTTTTCCTGCTGAAAAAAACCCAAACCTTCACTAATTTCCTTAGGAATTTTTTAAACAACTGCAGGGAAAATAATACCTTCTTGAAGTATTTGAAGAAATGTTGAGACAATAAATTACTACTGTTCATCCCTCTCCCCTGGCAAGTGAATATGTGTGTGTGTGTGTCTGTGTGATATTGCTGTTACCATCTCCAACATAAAACTCACTGGGAAAGTCTTACTCTTTACTACTGTATTGTGTTTTGTCTTTATGAACCTGATGAATAGTGTAGGCATAAGTGGGGACTGGGCTAGACAGGAATTTAGGGTTCACCCCCTTGGTTTCGTCTGTGAGGAGAAATGTTGAAAAACACATACGTGGTTGTTTCATGGGGAGGGTTTTTCATGAATAGTTATAACCTGTAGACAGAGTCCTCAAAAGCCACAGAGCCAGGAATTTGCTCTCACTGAGATGATTTTTACTCCCCTGAAAGTGCTTGGCTAAGGTATGTGAGGAGGATCGTAGAGTCTCACAGGTGTTTTTAGTAGGAAAACAAAGCTGGCTACTAGCAGTTTCTCTGTCTCCTTACATTGCCATGAGTAGAACCTACCAGTAAATTCCCCCTTGTATTTATTGTTTTTCTTGCTCTCCCTCTCTGAACTCTCAAGGTTATTCAGTTATTTTCCTCACAATTTCATTAGGAAATTTGCCAAAAACATCCTTTCTAGGCAGCTGTCTCTGGACCTTTGGAGGCCAGCACTAATGTGCTTCCAGTCTGTAGGGGGTGTTTGGCACGGAATTATGAACTAGGCCTTCATCGCTTTGGGGGAGAGTGGGGAAGAGATCGCTTGCGTTTTACCACACCCAGGTGCAAATTTTTTGCTGGTCTATGAGCATTCAGAGGCTTTCATCTCATGTTGTACCTGTTTTGTCCCAGCGCAAGGTCTGTTAACAGCAACAAATTGTTGATGTGAGAGAATTACAGTGAAGACTTATTTCTCTGTTGAATGAAAGCTTTTGTGCGTGTGTGTGAGGGAGTGACTTCAGCAGTCTAAAACTGTTCAGATGTAATTTTTTAGTGAGGCATTGATTTATTTTTTTTTTATTTTAAAGTGATGCTCAAAGGTGCTGTGGTGTTGTCTGCATGTAACACTTCATGTAAAATTGATTAAAATGTTAAATGTTTTGCCAGAATTAATGTTGGGAGGAGTTAAACATAGCAGATAGAGAAAGAAATGCGTTTTGGCGCTTTCTTTCATACGCCGTTGAGCAATATAGGCTAGTGCTGTACCATATGTACATATAATATATTTGTCAGACTAACTGCTCCTCGTGTTTGACTAAACTGTCTCCTTTCAGCCACCCACACAGAATATGCCTATGGGTCCGGGCGGGATGAGTCAGAGCGGCCCTCCCCCACCCCCGCGCTCGCACAACATGTCTTCAGATGGTATGGTAGGTGGGGGCCCTCCTGCACCACACATGCAGAACCAGATGAACGGCCAGATGCCTGGTAAGTTTTTCTCCTCTAAGACATTAACACCAGCGTTGCCTGGCAACTGAAACGACATGGGGGCTCAAGGGATACTAGATTGTTGATGACAAAACTGCTTTGAATGCCCCCGAGTACAAGCTCTCTTAGAGTTTGTTAGCTACAGAGCTACGTGACCTGTATTCAGTGTTTATCAGGCTGCCCTTGGGCTTTGATGTAGCTGACACACAGCATTCCTCTGATGAACAGAACTGGCTAAATTTAGTCTGTTTGAAACCATGCAGTACAGCTGGCTTTAGAGGGCTTACTGGGGAAAGGTATTGGCCTGTGGCTGAGCGAACACAAATCCTTCCATAAAAAGATAATGTGAAATCACTGTAGCTAAATAATTAGATAATAATAAAATAGATACATCTGAAAGGGGCTGTGTCTGATTTGGGTAAATGTTTAAAAGAAAAAAGGATTGCTTTTGTACAGCATCCACTAATCTCCTATGTTCTTTATTATTGAAGATGTGTTGAGTCGTAAGGGATTTGTAAAGAAATGGCCTCCAGATTATTGTTCCAGGTGTAAATTTTAAGTCAGTTTCTATGTCATCCTGTTTTGTAATAAAAAGAAAAGTACTTGGGAAGACAGAAACAAAGCAGAGGAAGAGAATGATAAAATTCCACATTGTACCTACCAGTACTGGCTTCGGGGTAGCTATTCCCTTTAGCAGTCAGATCAGAGTAAAGTAGGCAATGGAAGAGCATGCTACTTTATATAGAGGCTATTTTCCTGAATTTCCGCTTGTAAAATCATACTGTCTATTTCATGTGAAATAGCTTTCAGCTTAAAATTGCATTCCCAGGATTGCTTTTGTTCAGGATTCCTTCCTTTTTTTTTTTTTTGTTATGGAGGAACTTTTCATACTAAAGCTCCTCAAGGTATTGATACTTTCAAGAAAGGAAACTACTGTCAAAGGATCTTTGAAAACTCATCTCTCACTGGTGTCAAGGATAACTTTCCTGACAGCAAACACAGTAATAACTATGCAAAACTTAATACCAAACGAAGAATAGAATTGCTGTAGTCTCTAATTTCTGTGCAAATGTTGATAAAATGGACTTGATTATGGTGGCTTTTCTAAACGAGTAGCTTGAATAGCCTCCAGAGGCCGTATGTAAGAAGTGCCATAAAAGATCTATAGAAGTTAGTTTCATCGTACATGTTGGTCATGGTCTGCATTTGGAAGTGTAAAGAGCAATATATGCTGCTCCCTAAGTAAGGCAGAGATATTCTGATTATGGTGTCCTTTATCCATCTAAAATCCATCAGCTCCCATGGAGAATAGCACTGCCTCTCAAAAATCAGTCTCTTTGACCCTCAAGTGTAATCATATTATTGTTATTGTAGTGATCTTTTCCAAGGAGAAGGATTACTAAGTCACAATGTGAGCATAATGACTTCACTGCAGAGCCACGAGGGAGAAAAGTCACTCCTTAAACATACATATTTTGTAATTAGATAGAATAAGAAAAGAGCTCTTAGGAAAATATGTGAAAGGTAAATAGCTTTGTTTTGGTATTTACCTGGACAGATACTAAAATACAGTTTCCAACTAAGCTTTAATTTAGCCTTTCCTCCAACATATTCACTTTCTTGAATGTCTGTTCTTTCCTTCTCAGTTTGAAGTTTTCTCTGAGGACGTGAAGATAAACAGCTTAGGATGAGGGCATCTCTAATATCAGAAAGACATGCTAAAATTCTTTCATAGGTAGGCATTGGAAAAAGGGAAACAGAATCATCTTGTTAAGTGTATAGCTGAATTACACATATCTTTTTAAGTGTGTGTTAGTTTACCTGCTTGTGAGCCTTTCTATATTTCACAAAGATGTATTTCTAATAATTTCTGCAGTGTTTGCATTTGCTTATTGGTTTTAGGGCACTACTCTGAGCTTACTTAAACATTTGTATTAAAAACCAGATACAAAATCTTAAATATCTGTAGAGATGATCTGTATAGAAGGAGTAAATTCACTAATCTTAAACTGAGAGAATCCACATCTGACATCAGTTTACCAGCCTGGAAAAATGAAATGTAGGCTCTTAAAAATGCCAGCTAAGGATTTCAGGTATTACCTGAACAGGGGCTTCCACAGACCTGAGTACGGGTAGAAGAGAAGGGTTGATGAGAGGATTAGAAGAACGGACTAGTGACCATCAGGACAGGAGTAATTCTAAAGTTCTGCTTTAGACCTCTCCCATTGCCTGAAGGGCAAAGCATGATTTTTCTTGTACTTGTGTCCTGGTTAATAGAGAACCTGGAGCGCTGCTGGGGCCCTTAATTGCATCCCCTGACAAATACGTGTCTGTATTCTCTTGCCAGGGAAGGCACTCACGACAAACCATTTTCAGCTGGTGATACACTTGAGTGTTATCTGTACCTGTGATAGATTGTGGTTTTTAGCTGAAAAAAAAAATGCTGTCCGAAGAGTTACTTTGACTAAATTTATGTGTTGGAAAGTAAGGGTGATCTGGGTTTGGAAGGAGATGATGAATTAAGATATGCTGGGGCAAGTTGTCTTCCTGATTTCTTGAGGTTGTTTTCTCACATGTAGAAAGTTGAAAGGTAAGACTAGCCGTAGGGGTCTCTGACCTTTGTTGTGGCACTGCTAGGTGACCTTCCTGAATAACGGGTTGTCGTGGTTCCAGCCAGAACAAGGTTAATTTTTGCAGTGGCCAGGACCTGGTGGTTATTCTGACCTGTAGAATATTGTCAGGGGTTCTGTGTGGTGAGCAATTGCCTGTGAATCCTGTGCATCTTGTACACTGTTATTTATACTGTTGCTGTTACTGTTTTTTTCCTTATTTCATTGCTGTTTCCAGTAAATTGTTCTTAATCTCAACTTGTAATCTTTACTTTTTGTGCTTTTGGTTCTTCTCTCCAGCGCAGCGCAGGAAAGGGGATTCAGGAGGGTGAGCAAAGTGGTGTGTAGTTTGGAGTGTTTTAGTGGAAATGGTAAATTGGGGACTAGCATTTCTAAACCACAACACGGGTGTTTGTGTGTTCCAAACAAGTTCTCTCAGAATCTTCTTTCCTTCCTGCAAATGTATTCTCAAATGTATTTAGTTTGGATTACAGCTTCTTGGAGGTAAGGTGCTGTTCTTAGGTGGTTAAGAGGAAAAAAATAGTTTTATACTCAGGATAGATAGTTACTCTGCTAACTTCATTATAACACAGATCTAATTAAATGTATCTAAGTATAGCTTTTAAAGCAGTTATGTTAAAGTGGAGATACGTAACTTCATGCCTCATTAATTCACTCACAGTCCATTCATAATCTCTTCTTCCTATTTAATTTATCCATATGAAAAAAGAAAATCAATTGTTTTGTCCTTATACGCAGGAGAACTCCATGAAGTGTTTTGACAAACTAAAAAAATTTTATGCATACTGTTTTATTATTTTTCATTTGCAAGGTTTTTGATCCTATGGTCTTGCCTTTTTCTCTGTCCTTGTTGCCTAGCTTCTCACTAACAAACTTCCGGATTTTGACCACAGAAAATACACCTCACATTTCTTATGAGAGCTTTTTCTTATGATTGTTTTCTCCTGTTTTAGTGCTACCTGAGACATGAAGTGTAAACCAGCCTTTTAGAGAAGGTGTTTTATTTTTTCAAGTTATCTCTCGCGATGATTTTTGCCTTCCTCATTTAACTTCTTTCATTACCAGTTTTTGAAAACTTGCTGCCCTGTGTGCTTGTCCAGCTCTCTGAAATCTATCATTGACAATGTCTTCTTTTAATCAGAAAGAAACAAAACCACTCCCAGGCCCTAACTCTCTTTTTTTAATTAGGAAAGTAGTCTTCTAGTAGCTCTGAAATAGTTGCTTGGCACTAGACTAGGAAGCTTTTCTTAATCTAAGAGCACATTCATGATTGAGCTCATTGTTAGAGACAAACTCACTTTTTCATAATTAAACTGTCTCCATGTACTCATTATTACAGAATTAGGCAGTGTTGAATTGAAGAGGGACAGTATGGGCATCTGTAGTACTCTTGTGGGCATGATCCTGTTCGCTGAACTACTTTTCCTCTATTTTTTGGTGGACTTGCCTTCGTACATTTCAGCAATCTCTGCTCACCTTATTTTGCTGGAACAGTGAACCGCATGTTTGATATCTTTTTCAGCTTTTACACTTTCCTTGACAAAGTAGGTTTGTGCTTATTTCTGTAAGGTGTCTTAAAAAGGCCAAGAGAAATGCATTTTTAAATTCTCTGTTTCTTCACTTTGGCTTTAGTAGCTGTGTTCATTTATCATTATTATCTTTTTCTTCTGCATCTTTTTGTTTCAGTCAGTTAGTATTGTCTCTGTGACCTTGTGTGCAGCTGTGTCTTTACTTCTGCCTTCATTCTACCCTAGATTAGTGCAGCTTTTTCATTAGCAAGGGACTTAGGAGCTGTTTACCTCTGAAGGCAGAGGGGGGTGTGTGTGTGGTTTTTTATTTTAATTTTCACTGGAAAATATATAAACAAACCAATACTTTCCTACAGCTCTACTAGTGTAGTTTCTTTTAGATTCCTCTTCTTAGACTTTCTAGCTTAACAAAAAGCCTGTGACATGTTTAGCAATAGCAGCATCTTCATGAAATCTGCACATATCCACATTTGCCTTGTTTACAATTGGCCTGGTCTGTCATGTCCTTTGGTTGTACATATTTTCATGAGGTCTTCATGTGGTGCTTGTCATGAGCATAATCCATGCATTTCATCTACTTTCTTTACTTGTCATAGTTATATCCAGTCCCACCTCTTACTAATTTTAGTTCTAGTAGCTGTTCAACTGTTCTACTTAAAGTAATGAGTAAACTGCCTAGGTGATATTGTAATGTCGTACCTGTTAAAATACCTATTGAGAGCAGATTGAATTCAGAGAATAATCCAAATTCAATCTTTGTTGTTAGGAAGAAGGGAAAAATAAGAGGTGAAAAGATGTTGTTGGCTCATGGGTGTATGAACAAGTTGCTTTTCCTTTGCATCTTCACAAGATGAACTAATAATTTGAAGACTGTCTTTCCAGTCATCATCCTCCATTCTAGTAATCTGCAAATACAGTTGCAGAATATTGGCTATATATGATAAGAAGTGTTAAACAGCAATTTTTATTCTACATTGTTTCATACTATCTGAATCACTGCAATGCTAGGTCCATTAGAAATCAAAAGCATTGATTTTCTGTTGTGTTGAAATTTTCCACCTTATTTACAAGTAGAAAAGATGCATCACATTGTCTGTAACATCTTCCCTTTGTTCCTTTTTTCACACCTTTCTGATTTCCAAGGTAGTTCTTTCACGTATACACAGCAAAGGTGATGTGTTTAGCAACATAGGTCACGAAGTGCTTTATATTTACGTGTCATTCTTATTAAAAAGTCATGATTAAAGCATAAAAAAAAAAGTCTTGATGTCTTACCACGAAGATTTGTTCTCTTTCCCATCTCAAGAGATAAACTCGGGAGCTGTCTTCTTGTCATGAACATCTTTTGGTTAGATTTTTATCTACAGGGGCATTAAAACAGCTCTGTAGAAGAATGAGTTTGGCTCACAGGTTTTACATAAAAGCCTTTGCTGTTGTATCAGTGATCCATGCAGTGCTTGTCACCTTCTCTTTCTTCTCTGGGTAACTGTATAATCATTTGAATGAAAGCTAGCCTAAGTTAGCATTTAGTGGTGGACTTGGTAGTGTTAAATTTGTTGTTGAACTTGAAAATCTTAGTGGTCTTTTCCAAACAAAATGTTTCCATGATTCTGTGTAATTATACCATGTCAATGTTAATACTGCCTGCATTTAAAAATAATCATAATTGTTAGTTTCAAAAAATTGTCTAGCATGGGTTGTTTGAATACAGAGAAATGTTACAGCCATTGTAACAATTACAACTCTGATGGAGTTATCAAGCTGTCTGTTACACTGGTCTTGTGCCATTCAGACTGTGTTATGCAAATATGGAAAAGATTAGTTTTAGGTATGGTATGGATAGCAGATTAGCTGTATAATAATTCATCTTTAAGTAGCTTTAGCTACTCAAAGAAAACGTATTTCATAGTAGAGATGAACTTTTTTGTTAATTTTTTTAAGTGAGGAAATCACGTGCAAACTGTTTTATTTATTTGTTTTAGATGTTATTTATTTTAGATTTATTTTCATGTAATTGTGTTTAATGACTTCTTTTCAGTTTTGTGGTTCAGTACGACTGTTTTCACCTGATTTTATGCTGCTTAATGTACAACTTTTTCCCTATTTTTCTTTCTGAAGGACCCAACCATATGCCTATGCAAGGACCTGGACCTAACCAACTCAATATGACAAACAGTTCCATGAATATGCCTTCAAGTAGCCATGGGTCCATGGGTGGCTATAATCACTCAGTGCCATCGTCACAGAGCATGCCAGTGCAGAATCAGATGACAATGAGCCAGGGTCAGCCAATGGGCAACTACGGGCCCAGACCAAACATGAATATGCAACCAAACCAAGGTAAGTGTGGTGTTTGTTAGCTTCTGTAAAAGGAAAACATCTTGGGTACAGATTTTTTTAGAGGTCTTGTAGATTTTTGTCTCTAAATGCGTATGTATGCTGAAATTTGCTCAGTTGGTTAGGGCTTGGCGCTACGAGCACAAAGGTTGTGACTTCAGTCACCCTAAGGGCCATTTACGTAACGTGTGGACTCAGTCATCCTTATGGAAGGATCATCTCAGAATACCCTGTGAATATTCTTTACCTATATTCAGAGGATTTTACATCTCTTTTCTCCCCTGTATCTGTGACGTTTTGTTTATTTGCAGACACTGAACTATTTTCAGGTATTACGTGAAAATCTGGGAATGGATCTACTTTCATCAGTTATAAGCTGGAACTACTGTTTGTCTTTTTCAGACTTTACACTTCTAGATAAATCCTACTGTCATTCAGGTTGATAAAAGAAATCTCTGCTTTTAAGTCTCTTGGTTAAATTGAAAAATTAAAGTCAGCCCTCAGATTGTTATACCTACTTAGTCTTTGTTTTCTGCTGCATACTGTTTTAGCATGGAATGTCTGTTTAGTCTTAGAAGCGGAATTCAGTTGCAAGAACAGATCTGGTACTCCCGTCTGTTTTCATGAGATGTCTTTGTGTATGTAGTAAGAAACAAAACTAATTTTGTATCTAAGATTTTTCCATAAGTGTTTTGATGTCCTTTTTGAAATGCAAGGACATTGTGGAATTAAAATACTGCATTAGAGTCACAGCACAGCAAATCGTTAAGTTGCATACATACTGCAATTCTTACCTGCAATTCTTACAGAGGTGCTTTACAAGTCAGCGATCGGTATTTTCAGCTTTCCTGTTAGGTCTGTTACTGTATTGAATCTGTACATAGCACCTGCTAGAAGACATATGACAAACCAAATCGCCACTTCTTTATATGTAGATGTTATCTGTTCCTGAGATGTACAGACAGACTAGGTCATACTGATATATTTGATTATTAGGTTACAGAAAGGTGCAAAACAGACAAAAGCTTAACTTAAAAATCATGACGTGACAAGCTGTTTCTGCACTTTGTTACCGGTAGAGAAAGTGGGAGGTCTGAGGCCTTGAACATCCACATTGTTAATAGCATTTTTCTTAAAGTGTAACAACAGAAGAAACAAAATATAGGCAGGTAGCAGAGGAAATCATGAGTAGGAATATTTTTGACTGTTTCTCTGAACTGGCAAGTTGCCTCTATTCTGAGCAATACATAGTGTAGTAATTTTGTGAATGTTGTAAGATGCTGTGTAAAAACCCTGTGCCATTTCAGTTCAGGTTGATCCTACTACACCTGTCACTTAATAACATCACTAGTTAAATATAATGCTAAATATTCCACAGGATGAGGTCTTAGCATCTCAGGTTGGCTGTTAGAAATTCGTAGATGTTTTTGACCTTAATCGTTCCGTATATGTATTCATCATCTGTAGGGGAATGAATCTGATGGTAAGATTATGATACCATGTGATTTCACAGGAGACTTGTCAAAGTATATTCATTATGAAGATTTGGCCAAATTACTTATGGGTGCCATAAGAAAACCTATGAATAAATTAATAATTCTGTCTTCAGCGTTTGACTCGGCATCACATCTCACATGAACTATTAGGAAGAAGCAAAATACTGAAATAATTTTTCAGTGAGTAATGCCTACCTACTGAATGAAGCCAGTATTTCTAGGGGGAAAAAAAAGGAAAAAAAACGTATTATTACATAATAGGCAAAACCACCATAACACTCAGAAAGGCTTGCTCTAACACTTGGGTTATGCATGAGCATAACCTCTTTATGTGTACTTGCTACCGAAATATCTTGCTGTATATACACCTTGTGAGGCAGATGGTGTTAGCAAGAAAAAAAAAATGAAAAAAGTACTAATTAAGAAATAAAATGCATAGTAACAGAACTGTTCCTGTATCCACTCTCTACTTGTTATTGATTTGCCTTAGTTATAAAATGCTATCCAGAGGAATACATTAAATGAGAAGCTAAGTTTTCATGGAATTGATTTTATGTATTCGGTCCAGTTTAAAAGAGGAATTCTAGTGATTTTGGACTTAAAAAGCAGAATGTTTTAAGTGGAAGATTCTGTAGATGACTTCATGGAAAAGTTAATACAGCAGCCCAGGACATCTGCAAGGAACACTGGCTACCTTTTGGAAAAAGAGAGGAAGCAGAAGGAGCTGAATGAATTGGAAGAAACTATGTTCTTATGGATGCATTTATTTTTGTGTATGGTAAACTATTTAGGTTGAAAAAAAATGTCAAGTGTTGCCAGTTTTTGACTTTTTAGAGGGGAGACATAGGCATGATTTTTCTGAAACCTGAAACTTGCATGGAAATTCCTCTTTGTTTTTTATGTTGAACAAATCTTTCACACTCGGGGAATAATAACATATTTTGCAAGTGAGAACCAAGAAATTGTAGATTGGTCATCTCAGAAACTCTGTTTGCTATGCCTGGCCATCCCAGAGACTGTTTTTCATTTCTCATATCCTTTTGCTGGGATTTCATTCCCTTGCTAGAAGAGCTTGACACTAAGTTGCCAAACTCCCTGTCTCTATTGAACGAGTGCTATATGTTACCTATGGTAAGGAAGGGGAGCTGGCTTACAGGGGACTTCTACAGGACAGTATCATGTTGAGTCAGTCATTTGGAGGCCAGTTGTCAAATCTGGTGCTGAAATTTTTTAATGATAGTTTCATTCGTATAACCTTGGAAAAATTCCATTAGAATTTCAGACCTCTTTCACTTACAAGCAAATATGAAGATATGGAATATAAAGATTGGAACATCCAATATTAGCTAAAATATAAACATATTCAGGGTATGGCAGATCAGGGTAAAGTAATTTCTGAGTTTTACTACCTTTTGTGAATGTCTTGCCATCTGTTCACTTCCTTGTAAGGAGTGAGACTGTTAGGTTTCAGTACCTTGACTGCTTACAGTAGTCAAGATGTTATGGAAAAAGCAGGGCATTCCCTTTTTTTTGTTGTTTTTTTTTTGGTTGGTTTTTTTTTGTTTGTTTTGTTTTTAAATCCAGCCTATTAAAGGGAAATAAAATTGCCTCCATGTCCTGAAACACTGTCATGCTATATCCTTCATTGTATGGTTTGTCTAACTGTGGAAGACACTGTAGTTTTGTCATAAAAAAACAAAAGATACAAACAGCTGCCACTGAGCTTGTGCTTTCATCTTCTTTCCCTTGGGTAAAACATGAAAGGCAATGTTGGTAACTAAGGGGTTTTTTGTATGACATTTTATGTTCTAGTTCTTTTTAAATCATACCTGAAATTATAGCTCACTTTGAGATGAGAAGTTTGTGGAATAATAAAGTATGGAGAAGTGTCTACTGTCTTCAATTTGCAGCCTGAATCATACATTAGGAAAAAGTTTTGTATCCTCAAGTCTTCTGAGATAATGTTTAAATTGCTCCTGGTGTTAAAACATCTTTAGAATAGTGGTTCATTTGACTAAACACATCTGAATTGTAGTGTTTGTCAAGTTAAACTGACCCTACATATTGTTTCTGAGATAGTTCTCACAAGGCTTAAAACCATCATTGGAAAAACAAGCTTTTTTTTTTTAATAAACGTGTGGAAAAAGCTTTGAAGGCTGCTGCAGTGATATAGATTTTTGTCATTTTTGTAACAGTAAACACAGTGATGAGATTGACCACGGTAAGTCTGGCATGATGGGCTTTGCTGATAGTCTAGATATGGATATCCAGTCACTTCATCTATGCAGGTGTACGTTGTGAAATGCCTAAAGAATAGACTCCTGGGCAACACAGTCAGCGTAATTTAGAAGACTGAACAATCAATGGCATGTACTGCTGCTTTTTGGTTATACTCACCTATTCCCATAGCTCTTTAGTCAGAACAGCAGAGTCACCAGTACCTTTGTGAGTGTGGTTCCTCACTTCTCTGTTTCTTCAAAAGGTTCCACCATGTCAGTGGTTATTCTTGTTCTCTCATAGCTTTTACCACCAGTATCTGAGTTTCAGCATAAGGGACAATGCTAAAGAGACATTTTTAAACCACTAACCTTCTCTGCAGCTCTTTCATCCTCTGCACTTCTGGTCTCAGATTTGTTAGCTTTATCTGGGACCTACTTTCAGCTTGTATTTCTGTTTCTGTCTTATCTTACCTGTGTGAAGACTAGGCTGTCAGTTTCCAAAAGTCCCTTCTTGTCAGGAGACTTCCACTGTGTTACTGTACTTACAAGAAGATCAGGTAGTAGTCTGTAATCCACATACCTTTTCTTCCCTCTGCATGAGGCCTCCTTGTGAGATACTGACTGTAGCAGACGTTATTTTTTTTTTTCCACAACTGTTCAAAGTTGCCTACACCTACTAAACAAAAATGTATATTCTTGATAATGTGGACCAGTTAAATTCTGTACTTGCATATTTTACAGAGATAATCTTAACACAATATTTCTTTGGATGCATTTTGAACTCTGTACAAATAAGATACTTTGTCCTCTCTGGATTAAATAATTCTAGAAATTCACAAAAAGCAGGGTTTCTATGGGGAGTTTTTGAGAGCACTGAGCATTCTCTTGCAGCTCTCAGTTATGTGAGCTTTGTATATGAAAGTCTTACCTCCAAGTCTGGTAGAGATCGTGACTTCCAAATGTAGTTTGTTACGTGATCGGAGATTTAAGAGCCAAGTTTTAGGGTGTTTGTAAAAATGCGTGCCACTAATATAAACTATATACGTGCCACTGATATAAAAATATTAGAAAACATCATAGAGTCATTGAATGGTTTGGGTTGGAAGGGACATGAAAGATCATATAGTTCCAACCTCCCTGCCTGTGCTACAACTAGCCCTGGTTTCTCAGAGCCCCATCCATCCTGGTCTTGAACACATCCAGGGATGGGGCATTCACAGTTTCTTTGGGCAGCCTCTTCCAATGCCTCACCTCCCAATATCCAATCTATACCTAACCTCTTTGAACTTAAAACCATTGCTCCTTGTCCTGTCACTATCTGCCTGTATATAAAGTTCGTCTCCCTCCCTTTTATAAAGCCTTCTCAAAATACTGGTAGGCCACATGACATCTCCCTGAAGCTTTCTCTTCTCCATGCTCTCTGTGTTTCCTAAAAGGAGAGGTGCTCTCTCCCTCTGATAATCCTTGTGGCCTTCCTCCAGACTCGCTCCAACAGGTCTGTTTCTTTCCTCTGCTGGTCACCCTGGAGCTGGATACCGCGCTCTAGGTGGGATCTCACCAGGGCATAGTAGAGGGGCAGAATCACCTTGCTTGACCTTCTGGCCATGTTTTTTCATGCAGCCCAGCATGCAGTTGGTTTTTTTTTGGACTGTAGGCCCACATTGCCAGATGAGACTCAGCTTTTCATCAATGCAAACCCTCAAGTTCTTCTCAGGGCTGCTCTCGTGAGTTTCCCACTCTGAACTCATGTCTGGGTTTGCCCCAAAGCAGGTGCTGCACTTTGCAGTTGGACTTGTTGAACTTGTGAGGTTCTCTTGGGCCCACTTCTCAAGTTTGTCCTTTTGAAAGTAGATAATGAATTAGTAATCTTAAGATTTTTATTAAGTTTTGAGATTTTATGTCATATTAAGTACTACACAATGAATAAACGTAGCTTTTTCCTAGGCTAGATTTTTCAAAGGGAAGAATAAATTCAAAGTTCCCTCATCCCTCAAAACTGCTGCATAAAATGGTTATGTTCCATGAGGCAGTAGAGACCATGGTGGTTTTTTTAGGTATCTTCTTAATAAGAAGAGCCAAACTGGAAGGAAGCCAGGCCGTCTGCTATGAGCACAACACACAGCCTGATACAGGGTAGTGAGTTTTCAGTGTGGCTCTACAAAGCGTTAATGAAGTTCTAATTTAAAAAGCAAACAGAAAATCTCTACATTGCACCATGGGGACCCAACACATTTTATCACATTGTCTTGTGACTAATATTAATATTGTTAATTAACAAGCTTTCTTGAGATCTAGGAATATTATGGCAACAAGTTTGTTTTTTTTTTTTTCCAAGACTGCCTGATGTTTCTCAGTAGCTCCAAACAGAGGAGCAGTGAAATGGAATATTAAAATTACCTACTTGTTTAGAAGATCAGAAAAGGAAATGTATTTTGCCAATAACTAAAATAAGTACATCTTTAACCCCTTTTTTGAACTTTGAAGTTGGGACACAGAAACTTGCCATACTGAGGGATAGAAGCATAACTGGATCTTAAGAGTGGCCAATGTTTATCTTTAGAGGAAAATGAAGCTTAGACCACTTTACTTCTCAAGAAGACATCTCACACAGGGCTTTTATGGGATTTAACTAATGCATTTTGAATTCATACCATTAATTAATTTGTCTTAACTTTCCCTCATAACTCTGCATAGATGGGTTCTAAGTGACTACATATTCCTTTCCTTGTATAAATCCATTGTCACTTTATCTAGGTATTTTTCCTGTATTGTAGTTTCACACAGGACTTCTTCTTGTGCTTCAGCACCTACTCATTTAAAAATAATAACTGGAATGGAAAAATCTAAGCATACAGAAAGTAGATGATACCTTCCTTTTTTTCCTTGGATGGCACTTAGGAGTGGCTCTGCAAATTTGATGTTGGATGTCATGGTTTGGTTTAAGTTTTTTTTTTTTTGTGAGACTGCTAGTTACTTGTTATCTTTGTAGTTTAAAAAATAAATTAATTTTTATAACGGTAAAAAACAGCTTAGAGTTTCACCATTATAGACTGGGCAGTATGTGTGAAGTGGTTTGAATGAATATATTACAAAAATCTGTTGTTTAAAAAAGTTTTTAAAAAAACTCCATGTCATAACTTTCTCCTCCTCATGTTTTTGATACTGGAATAACTCTTTACTGGAGTGGTACTATAGAGGAGGCACAGAGGCTGTTTTTTGTTAAATGTTATATCAGTCTAACCTGCAATCTCATATAATGAAATGGTGTAATCATAGTTTTCATTGCTGTGTGGTGTCAGTAGGGTGCTCTTTAACTGTCTGTTTTCATTACTGAAATTTGCATTTCTCCAAGTACAGCCTTAATCAGATTTTGTCAGTTGATAAACACGGACAGTACTTGATCTCTCCTGGTCTCTTTCTGTGGTTCATGGAAACCCGGTGTGACTTGGTGTGAAAGATTTCTTTGTTACAGACTGTTTGGGACTGTTCAGTGTCAGGCAGAGCCTGTGTTCTGTGGGTCTTCTGCATATGCCTGTTGTGTAATTGCCTGTCTGGTTCACGTGGTTTGCCTTTACAGGCTAAATAAAATTGTTGATTTTGTGATAATGGCTTAGTGGTTTGTTGATGGAATATAACAGCAACTATGTGTGTATTGAAACTACGCTCTGAAGAGATCACAAATGTTAAATGTTTCTATGACTTACTAAGGTTTCACCATCAGGTTTTCACCTACACTTTTTTTGAAGATATTTTTTAAAACAAAAAGTCGTAAAAGCGTTTCAGTTATCTTTGTGGTTTTGAAGAAAAATCATCTAAAAAGCAACCTTCTTTAGGCTGACTTCTCTTTTGTAGTTTGATTACTGAATTGTTCACCTACATTTGCATAGGTCCAGAAACAGCAAACCCTTATCAGAGCAGTGGATATACAGAGCCTTTTTTGGTCCATTTTTAAAGGTTGAATTTTCCACGTTCTTTTGGAAAGGTTTAATCACAAATAATTTTTGCATATTTGACATTTTGCTGCTTTTCCTTTTATAGGTCCAATGATGCACCAGCAGCCTCCCTCCCAGCAATACAACATGCCACAGGCAGGTGGCCAGCATTACCAGGGGCAGCAGCCACCGATGGGAATGATGGGCCAAGTTAACCAAGGAAATCACATGATGGGGCAGAGACAGATTCCTCCCTACAGGCCACCACAGCAAGGTAGGAATTCACTTCAATATTTTTACACTGATTTTAAATAACCTTGTTTAAAACCATTTTACATCACTTTCTTGCTTACACCAAATTTCTATCAAGTCATTTGATGTGACAGACTTTGTTTGCAAACTCTTTTTGTTACCCTTTTTAAGGGTGGTTCTTGCAGCAAGAGGTTACTACTATCACCATGAAATGTGAAGATAAAATTGTTTTCTCTGTCTTTTGATTCTTTCTGAGATTATGTATTCTGAAATCATGCATCTCAGATATGCTGATGCAGAATTCTGTTTTGATATTTAAATGATAGGTACAGAAAAGGAACAGAATACCTACTTGGTTCTGAATTCATTCAATTAGAAAAAAAGGAACTATGTTCCACGATACTGGTTCTCTTTTTTATTTTTAGTCCCTTTCAACAAGGAATAATTTTATTTTTAACACCCTAGTCTATTATACACATATTCCTAAAATGAGCTCAAAACTGAAGTTTGGTATTTATAGTCTCAGCCTAGTGCAGCCAAACAACTGTGTGTTTGTATATGTAGATAGATACATTTACTTACTTTTTTTAACTAAACCAGATTACATATGTTGTCTGTAATGCAACAATATGGGTGGGGAATACATTTGAGAAATATTTCTCATACTAAAATGAGAAATTAGCAGGCTTTATAACAGAGAAAACAAGATATTTACGTATTGACTGGTTGTGGTTTTTCAGGCCCACCACAGCAGTACTCAGGCCAGGAAGACTATTATGGGGACCAATACAGTCATGGTGGACAAGGTCCTCCAGAAGGCATGAACCAGCAATATTACCCTGATGGTAATCTCTCATAAATGTTAACTTTCCCATTTTCTATACCTGCCCAATACTAATGTAGTCATATGCCCAAAATTAGGGGATGAGGCAAGAATAGTAATTGGATATCATACCTCACATTTACAATACCTTGCAAATTCAGAATTGTTGCTACAGTTTAAATTACTATGACTAGTTAAATTTACAACTTAAAACATGTAATTTGTATTACTCCCATTTGAAATTCTTAACGACCGTTTTAGTATTTCAAAATAATGGAAATAATTGGTTTTTCTCAAAGAATGGAGAGTTCCTTAGCATATCTAATATAATTGAGATGAATTTAAACAGTCATAACTTTATTAAGAGAGGGGGCGATATCCTTTTATTAAAAATCTTACTGAACTGAAAAAACTTGCTAAAAAGATGTGGGTTTTTTCTGTAAATACTCTACTTTTTTAACTTAGTGTTTCATTTTCATATAAGTCGCACAAATGTGTTATTGCTGACATGGTATGGGCCTTCAGTTTAACATTTATATAGGAATAAAGTGGTCCCTGCCCTGAGGATATTGGAAATGTGAATCCTCTTTGGATATCCCCTCAGTGCATTCGAGACAAGACTGAAACTTTGAATCTCATAAATCTGTCCTCCTACCTCCTGGAATATGGAGTCCTTAAGACTATTGGATTGTTTTATAAGTTAGAAAAGTTGAAATGAACTTGTTTTCAGGCTGAGTAGAGACTGGGAGAACAAAGATGCTGACTCCTGACTACTGTGATAACCATGTGTGCAACTTAATGGTATCTTATGAAGCACAAGAAATGTGGTAGATGTTAATGTTTAAAAAATATATACAAAGCAAAGCTGTGTAATTGCCAAAGCAATTACTCATAGCAAATAAAGTGATGCAAGTCAGTTGTTTGAATTTAATTTCCATCAAACTGATTTTAAGATACATCAAGCCATGTCTGTATAAGCTTACATGTGTTAATTTCTGGAGATGTGTGTGCAGAGTTATTTTACAAGTTGTGGTAACTAGTAATTACTCAGCTTTCATTTTGGAACTTTTATGTACACATATGAACACTAAATTGTTACAGGTAATTTTCTCCAGTAAGGGCAGTTTTATGTTGTCATCAACAGCTCTGTGGCAGCACAGATTACTTCTAAGATCTGTTCCTTCTAAAGAGTCATCTTTATCATTACCTCATTATTACTCTTACGTAGAATACAAGGAGCATATTTTAAGACTTGTTTTAATGGTTATAGATGCACGTAAGATTCAGTCAGTGATGTATTGTACGGTTGCAGACCTGATAACAAAACCACTGAGTTTCAGAACTCTTTCCTCCTTTCCTTACTTGTATCTAAAATTTTTATTCTAAATCTTTATTATTTAATTTTGAATGTAGATAAAATTTTGGCATGTATTCTTCACCAAGCTAGCAATAAGGTATATTTTGATCATCTGTAAGAAAAATATATGTGTGCTAAAACCAACAACAGGTGGGGTGCTTACTGCATGTATTGGTTTCTTAATCACAGGTGCCTGTAGTCTCTCAATAGAAAGGTTTGTTTGAAATAAATCTGCTCAGTACTGGAATGTAAGAGGAAAAGTTTTCTTAAGATATGAAGTAGGAATTCTGTTTGTAGGGAAAACATTGAGTGTGTTATATTTCTGTCATTCAAAAACAATTTAATGTAGATGATGGTTCATAACTTCGTTGAGCTTTATTTGTTATATTTCACACTGCTTTTAGCATATGCTTTTGAATTGGAGATCAGCAGAACAGGTGTTAGACAAAGTATGATAATTGCTTTCTTTGTTCATTCTAATTTAATTCAGGTTATTTACATGTGAAAGGCCTAAATGCTTTCATTTTTTTTTTTGAGTGAAAGATGAAGTACTTCCCCCCACTCCCCCAACAAGGATTATCGGAAGGTTAAGACCATCCCTTGCTGTGATGTTTCTAGAGCTACTGCATTAAGTTTTTTTTTTTTTCCCCTGTCACATGTTAATTCAATATGAAAGGAAATCATATTAATAAGTCTTTGGCTAATACAATTGAAAATTCTTTTTCATGTATATCCAGTTGAAATTTTTTTTTCCTTTTTCTGAGAAATGAAATATTTTTAGGGTTTTCACTCAGAGGCCATTAACGTTTCTTCCTGTCTCTTGTCGAATTGATGTAGGTCATAATGATTACGGTTATCAGCAACCGTCGTATCCTGAACAAGGCTACGATAGGCCTTATGAGGATTCCTCACAACATTACTACGAAGGAGGTATCTATATACCTTCACACACATACGCACATACATTCCCTTTCCTCCCCCACCCTCAACGGGAACAGAAACTTGCACAACACAACTTATACCCATGCAAAGCTCTTGTAGAATACTAGTTGCTGGCTGTCTTGGAAATGGCAGGGAACTTGAAGCCTTCAGAATAATTTCTTGCAAACACCTAAAATATATAACCACAATTTGCCATTCTAACAACAGTAAAATGACTAAAACACTCTAGAGAATTTTTTTTTTTACCTCAATGGAAATTTTTATTTTAACATGAATTTGTTGGTTCAGTTGTATATCTTTTTGTGTGTGTATATATTTTGTATAATTATAGTGCCGTTAGGAAACAGCTTGCTGATCTTGTGTAGCTAGTCTGTGCTCTTGTAGCTGTCCTTAATTTTGTCTTTTTTTTTTTTTTTTTTTATTTTATTTAGCATAGTCATGATCTTATGACTGTGATGTTCCAGTAAATGTAATGCTCGTTTGGCAGAGATGCTGAAAATGCTGCAGTTCAACTTTGCAAAATTGGCTTTAACTGCAGTTTGTTTGGCCGAGTTCCTTCTGTTTGGTTTGAGTTTCCTTTGTTTTGTTCAGTTTTTGAAATCAATATTGCATTTTCATTTTGTTCTTGTGTTGTTGGCTGTGCATCTTAGAAGGAAAAAAATTATAAAATAGGTATCTTTATGAGTTTTTGCTTTCTTGCAATGATCTTACAGGAAACTCGCAATACGGTCAGCAGCAAGATGCATATCAAGGACCACCGCAACAGCAGGGATATCCACCACAACAGCAGCAATATCCCGGCCAGCAAGGCTATCCAGGACAACAGCAGGGTTATGGTAAGAACCTGAGGACAGCTGTCACAGAAAGGACTAAGAGAGACCCTTGTTGTGTGTTATTCCATCCCTGTTTGACTGTGTCCAGAGGCCAGGCTTGCACAGAACAGTCTGTGCCTGCAATTTCACTGGGATGAGACAAGAAAACGTAGAAGGCAGTGTTTTCTGGGAGTTAGATCTGTTTGCAGTCTAGGAGAGTGTGGTAGCACAGAAAACCGAAGATGACTAAACAGCATTGTAATGGGTGTCTGTAATTTAGAAGGACCTGGAAAGATTCTGCTCTTTCTGTCTTCTGTAGGTAAATGCAGTCACAAAGATGACAAAGAACCCATTTCATCTGTGCATTGGCCAATTAAAACAGTCTTTTAAAAACTGGTTTAAAACTTCATTCAACATTCATGAATCATTCTTTTCAAATTCTTGTACTGATCAGTAGAGAAATGACTATAAGCATTGACAGTGCAGCTTTAAAGAAACTGTGCCTTAAAAATTTGCGCTAGTAGTCCAAACCTTCTGATACACAGCAGGAATGAGAAATCCTCTGCCACAAGTCCCTGGATTCAAGGAAAACCTCCTAAAAAGGAAACTTAAAGCAGTAGAATGTAATTTTGGTGCATTAATTCTAAAAAACTTCATGTCAGAAGAGCATACTGAAACTACTGCTCTTTCAAGTTTTACTTGCTTGCATACTGTAAAGTCATATATATTTATGACAGAAGAAGGAATCTCTGAAATTCCATGAATTCCATGTATTTCGACTTTCAGCTCTTTTGCAGGCTTAAATGCAAAAGCTTTCAGCATGATATGTATGTGCTGAAATGCATGGGTAATTTGTTTGCCATGTTGATAAATGCCAGATTCACATGAAATCCAGTTATGCTGAGACAGAGTTAAGTTTTTAGAGGATCCGCTGAGATTTACCAGGTGTTCTACTTCTTGAGGTTGTGGATGAATTGATAGTTCTAAAGTAATACTGGTACCTACATTCTGCTAAACATAATACAAGAACAGACTGAAGATCAGAGTGGAGATCCATGTAGATCATCGCTCTGAACTTTGTAAATAAAGAAGTAAAATCTGATTTATTCTGAAAGTTTAGGTTAAGAAATACTAGAAGAAAAGGGATTAGGAAATCTTTTGGAGCCACTTACTCAACATAATTCATAAAACAGCATAACATATTTTTCAGTTTCTGGTTTTTAGCAGAAATTGTTACTGAAGTCCCATTTTTTTTCTGTGAAATGTGTCAATGAATATTTAGAATTCAGCTATAAAGAATTACCATGAATAAATAAACCCATGTTCATTTGTCAGATGAACTCAGCACTTGTAGGTTGTTGTATTCTTGCTCAATTTAATATTTAATTGCTTTCTAATTTTCAAAGACGAATCAATATCTCAGTCATTACTATCAATATTTAAGGTTTTATTTCACTGTAGAAAGCTGAAACTGCATAGTTCAAGGGGATTTGAGGCCTGAGGAGAATGGTAATAGCTTATGGAGCTTTTCCTCTCCAGTTTGTCTTTAAACTGTCTTATAGATCCAGAATTCCAGAAGGAGTTACTAGCTGATGTCACGTTAATGTCCAATGTTTGTAGCTAAAACTAGCCCGCTGTAGCACTGAATCACAGCTGATAAAACACCTCTGTTTCTTCTGAGGGGAGGGGGAAAAAAGTGTTGGTTTGTTTAAAAGAAAGCACTTCTGAAGAGCTGCAAATCTTCAGCTTCAGGGTTGGTGTTGAAAAAGCTAACAGATCCACTGCAAAGGATTCATAGGGAGTGCCACTGACATACAGAGTACATCTCTCCCAGTGCTGGAGGGGATGGTGATAATTTTGTTTGGAACATGGCTACACTGCCTGATGGTGGTAACGTGCAGCTCCAGTGGTAGACAGGCCAAGTCCCTGTGAATAGTACCAGAAACTTATACTTGCAAAAGAACTACTTCTTTTACAGACAAAAAGGACTGGAGTCCAAGTTTTGGGTCTCTTCCTAGTCTTTTTCTGAAAAATTAATATTACCAAAGGAGTATGGAGTAGAGGGTGCTTTTTCCATCTCACAATAGCTTTTACTGCTTGTCACATCTCACATTTTATACATACATAACTTGCTTGCCTGACACCCTGTCAATGATTGCCTGCTGTGGTGTGAGACTTTACTTTCTGGCAGCACAGTACTGCTGGTCTCTTCAAAAAGTCCAAATGTTAAACATAGCTGATTATCTGGCTGCTCTTGGCATTAGAAAATTCTGGAACTGAAGCAGCATACATCAGGAGACTGCCTTCCAAATCCTGGAAAGGGCTCATGTTTATAATTTCTTGCCTTGTTCTTCTCTGTCCTGTGACCTTGTATGTGGAACTACATGCATTGATATTCAATAATGAATATAGAAATAAAAGTAAATGTTTCTGTAGTTGGAGCACAGGCCCTGGCAGCAAAGGTGCTTTCCAGGGGGAGAGGGGTGGGCCACTCAAAAGACCTAAGACCTAATTGCACAGTAGTGGCATTTCTTAGTCCTGGTTAGCTGTAAAATTCAGTGTTTCTCCTGTTCTCTTCTTTCCAACATCTTAAGCACTCTTTTTTTTTTTTTTCCCCTTTTGTTTTTTCTTCATTTAATGATCCCCAGGTCCTTCCCAGAGTGGTCCAGGGCCTCAGTATCCCAATTATCCGCAAGGACAAGGACAGCAGTATGGGGGATACAGACCCACGCAGCCTGGGCCACCACAACCACCACAGCAGAGGCCTTATGGATATGACCAGGTATTCTTTCATTTCATGAGAAAGTTGTGATTCTTACATACTCATTTGGTAATCTTAGATTCTGGACATTTAAACTAATGAATTTTAGGACATAGTCTTTCAGGTGTGTACGTACAGTTCTCATGGTGTTTATGTCTTGGTGAGTTACCAAGAATCATTTGTATGGAATTGTGATTACTCATTCTCTCCTGTGTTTGCTAAATTTTAATGCAATTTGGCAAAGTGAGGTCTTCTCAGCAGTATTTTTGGACGTTAAAAATTAAGGTGATGTGTTTCATAGCCTTATGGTGAATGACTAATATGAAAGATGAGATTTCTAAATCTCATGGTGGATCATTTTTCATTACTTCTTTGCAATAGAAGTGGTTGAATTTATTTTCCACAAACACAAATCCTAATCAAAATCTTCCTCTTCAGCTGCAAAAGCACCTCAGGTGTTCAGCTGAGGTCCTTCAGCTGCAGAGCTTATGGGGAGACATGAAACCTCTTTTTGCACAGCTTTTCTCTGAGCCATATAAGGGGGCAGCGAACATGGGAAAGAAGTGACCTGAAAATTGACTGCTTCATTCCTGTCACTGCTAAGACAAGATTAAAACAAACAAATAGTTACCACCAAAACTTTAGGATGGAGTTGTAGTGAAGGGCTCATGTAAAAAGCTGTCTTAAAATTAAAGGATGAAGACGGTTTTATTCCTGTAAAAGGTACTAACTTGTAAAATCCAAACTTTTCACTATAAATAATTCAGAAATGTCATTAAAATGTACACTATTACTTTCCTTGGTACAAATAACCTAAATATTAACTAAATGATAAAGTTGAGGTTCTGATGTTTAACTAAAATCCTGTTACGTCAGTAGAAGATCAGTTGAACTTTCAAGAAAAACTTATCTGAGGAAGTGAGAATTGCCCACGATTTTGAAGAACAATTGGCTTTGTTTCTACATAAATTAGAGAAGACAAGGAAGAAGGAACAAACTCTCAGTGTGGTAGTTCAGAGATGCAGTTACTTTTAATTATTTAACAGATAAAATGTTTTTGCACTGAACCAGTAGCTTCCTCTGAAGACAGTAAGCTAAAGGAGAATTCTTTGCTTGTGGCCAGCATAGGGTCAAGCAGACTTGATCACAATTTGCTGAGTTTTTTCCAGCTTTCCTTGCAGAAGAAGTGGATAACCTTCTCTGTTGATAGGCTGTGCTCCTCCAGTTTGTGCAGTCTTGAGTTCCACTGGGAAACTCAATTACAGAAGACCTCTATTCCATACTGGCCATTCCCTTAGGAATTCTGCTGCTTAAATTCTCATCTGGCAGCTGTTGTGAAACTCTTCTTCATGACTGATTGTTATATTATAATGGAACATAACTGACACTGCAACATAAAACTAAAATGTAAAATACTGCCTTGTGGTAGTATTTTACATGGAATGGTGGCAGGATCGTTTGGGAGTATTTTCACTTCCTAGCACAGTCCTTCTTTCTGCAAGCCTTGAACTGTGTGGTGAAGGATCATGGTAAGCTTAATAGCATTGATACTTTCACCTCTGCCCACCTCTGCAGTACATGAAATTCACTCAAAAGAAATAGAGAATATTAATAAGGGTAGTAATTTTGTCTATTACATCTATGGAATAACTGCCTCCCATAGACTAGTTCTTCACGTTCATCAGGATGTGCCTTGGCTTTAAAATACATGTGCCATTATTCTGTAATGCTTGATAGATTAATAATTTTAGATACCTCTGTGTCATGGTTAGTTTCCTAAATTACTTTGAATTTAGGTGACCTTGACTTTTAGAAATAAATTTCAAAGTTTAAGTGGGAAGTAATCCCCATCTTTTGTTTTCTGATGATATTCTGCTAATTTCACAGCAGCTTGTTGAATGTAAAGGTATATTCTTTTGATCAAATTAGGTTCCTGGCCTTAAATTCATGTCTTTGGTCTTATTTCTACATTAAAGCACATAGTATTTTTTAGTGAGATGAAACTACACTAGTTACTTGTGTCACTATATAATTTACTTGTTTCTACCTTTTACTATCAGTTTATTTGGATGGTCTTCCAATTACAGCTTTAAATGTAGGAAAATATGCCTTGCGGTCTAATTATGTATTTTGAATTTTTTTTAGGGTCAATATGGAAATTATCAACAGTGAAAAAGTACTCACATTCCAGTAGGCAAAATTTATTAGCAGCCATCTTGTCTCCTCAGCACTGTGGACATCTTCCCGAGATGAGAACCTCCCATTCCATCTAGACTTTGGAAAAATCTTGTGGCTGTTTTATGGTATACAGTCTTTATGGGTTAATTGTTAAAGACTGTTCATTCTCAGAAACTAGTTTCACATCTCTACTCTAGATGGCAATATTGGACAGAAAATCTGTGACATAACAATTTGCAGTTAGTTGAGAACTGTATGTCAAACATACTGTTACAGACTGAGAGGTGCGAACAGCTTTGTATGTTTATGAAGGTTATGGGAATTTAATATTTTTTCCACAGATTTTTTTGTAGGGGGAAAGGGGAAATGCACACTTTTTACAGCAGCAATATTTTGTATATTATGTTTTTCATGTGGTGAATATGCAAGACAGTACACTACTCGCTGGGCAGGATAGCAAATCTACTGTTAAAAATGGGTAGGGGCATGGTAAATGCTTGATTGTATTAGTCTTGAAATGGTGTACAATAAAGATAACAGTGAAAAGATGGAGAGCATTCTATGTCACTGATGGGTTCAAGTACAAAGACTGAGAATCCCAGTTATCTAAATGGGAACATAATTAAGGACAGTGTAATATAGTCTTGTGCAAAGATGAATTTTTTAAGCTTTCCAATTTTTCTGAGTGAAGCGGTTTTGTAAAAATTGTTTCTAACATAGTTTGACAATTTTCTGCAACATTTTTTTGGGTAACAAGATAAACGTTTGGGTTTTATTTCTCAAGTGTTTTGTCAGAGCTTTGCATAAGCAAGCTGTAATCCTTCTTAATAATTGCAATAACAAAGAAAATGACAAGTGTTAATTTTACTTGGCTTGAATATGCAAAGAACTTGAAAAGGAATATGGAGAACAGGACTGTATTGTATAAGTGTATTTTAACCTTTAGTTGAATAATTTGTATGTATCAAAATAGCCTAGAGGACTTTGTAAAACCTATCTAAACTTTTGTCGTGGTTTAGGAATGGTATCCCCCAATTTTAGTCTTCCCACTGACACACTCCAAACTACATGCCGCTCGCTTGCTGCCCACTCTCCCTCCCCTTCCCTTGTGGCAGGCTGAAGAGGAGAATCAGAGGCACAAAAGGTAAAGATCACGGCTTGAGAGAACAATTTACTGGAAACAGCAGTGAAATAAGAAAATGAAAGTAACGGCAACAATACCAGTGCCAGAGGGTGCAAGAAAGAAGGCTTCACACGTGTTGATTGCTCACCACAGCAGAGCCCGGTTCCGCCCCACACTGCACTGTCTGGAAGGGTCCCCGGAAGCCGAGATGTTCCCTCCTGGCTACTGCAGAAATTAACTCCATCCTGGCCGGAACCAGGACAGCTTTCCTAACTGGGAGTTAGTAACATCAGAAAAAAGGGGCATTTGTTGTTTGTGGCCATTTTTCTTACTGATTAACATGAGAGCAAGGGGATATTTCACAACATCAAGTACAAAACCTGTTGGTGAGGCAAATGCCAAATTTTGTTTTGAACTGCATTAATGCTTATAGAGTTGCATGTGAGAGAGAGGCAGCACCTTGATCAGTAACAATATTACACAAAAAATTGGTTTTGAAACTGCCCTGCAACTGTGTATCAGATAAATAAATGGATATTCTTATCTGCAGAAATATATACATTCAAGAATCCCTGGGAACTTCTATAAATAATAAAACTTAAAATTAACCCAGGAGGAAAATAATATTTTGGGGTTTTTTCAGTTTGCAATCAATGTTCAGGGAGAAAAAAATACTAGTGTTCATAGTATGTATGACATTATATATGGAAGACAAGATTTTCAATTTGTGTGTCCTTTTTAAAGGGAAAACAGTTTTCTTAAAGTCAACAGAAAATACACATCTAGGTTTGAACAGATATGGCATGAAGAACATTATTACAAATTAAAAGCTTGTAGGTTCTGTGCCAATTTTCCACCACTGTGTACTTCATTGCTATTTAAAACTGTACTCCATCAGTTCTAACGGAAGAATAAATTATTTGTGATTTTAATTTTCTCATTTGTTTCTTTAAATTAGATCCCTATCACTCTGATGTCTCATCTGGAGACTCTGCTGTGGGTTTTGATTTTAAAGACGTTTGGCCAGAATAACCAAACCTTATTTGCAGTCTAGGACTTTATCAAAATTCTCTTGCCATAGCCAAGTTAATTAGAATTAACTGTTCAGTAATCAGCATGTTGTGTAGGTTGTTTGTTAAGAAATTCTTCCTCTGAAAATGAAGGTCCATGAGGCTATAATCAAGATGACTGAATTAGATAAATGAGTTGACGAGGCAAAAATGTGTTGAACCCAACCTGGTGTAGATATGTTATCTCATTTGAAATAGGCTCAACTGACATTAAGAAATAATTTGTCTTGCCAGCCCGTCTTCTGTTGTCTTATTCTCTTTTTTAATGGAAACTAAAATTGCAGTTTTAATAAGCAGAATTTCCTCCAGGGTTTCCCTCCTAGAGACTACTGCATTTGCAAGGTTTAATTGTTTTATAACAGTCCTGTTTCGTAAAACTTTTTAATTGGTGGTGACAAAAATTACCTTATTCCTCTGATACTATGCAAGAAGAACAACTTGAGAGGAGATAGCTCCATGCAGAAGTATTTCTACTAAAACTATATATTAAAAAGGAACATGTGTTCCCTATACAAAAGAAGAAACAGGAGTGCATGACAGGACCAGGAGGAAATGGCGAGACACAAGGTTCATTTTAGTAAGTCTTCCTTATTAAATAAAATCCAGCCAACAGGAAACTAGTAAAAAAGGTGTTGCAACTGGCATTTTACATTCAAAATATAAAAAATAAGAGGAGAACTGACACAGCAAGTCAAATACAGGAGCAGAAATGATAAAAATGTTAAAAGAATAAAGAGGAGGGGTTAATGCATTCAGTGACTTTTAGTTATCATAGGGTTATGATTTTTGCTGTTGTATTTTTCTCTATGCAGACTGTTTTATTTCCTTTTCTGCTCTGTGAATGACTGCTAAAGGGAGAAGCTGGCTCAGTGTTTCGATTGAAATTGACTTCACAATGTTGGACATGAGGAAGCAAATGTGCTGCTTTATGGGCAGGGTAAATGTATTATTTTGCAAAAGACACACTTTATTTTCATACCTACATTACTCTTAACTTGTAAAGTAATTGGTTTTTGTGGGTTTTGGGGTTTTTTTTGAGAAAATTCACCTGATTAAAGAGGGGCAAGGACTTCAGTGCAAAAATGTATTTCTACAGTTTTCACCACAGAGGATGCTGATAGACCACAATGTGATAAAAAAGTCAGACTTTAGATTCAAAAAAAGAATACTTAAATTTGCAAAATTAAGAAAAACTGTTACTTCAGAGAGTCTAGGTGGAGTTCTGCCAGAAGCCCTGAAGAAGCTGAAAAAAAAGTAACAGGCTTTCCCTACATGAACAATTGCTGTATCATAAAACAGAAGCATAAGAGTGGAATCCTGTGAAATGAAACCAAACAAACCTGATAAGAACAGATACCTGGATACAGTAGTAAGGTGAAAGAAAGAAACAACCTTATCTAAATGATATGTTCATTAAAAAAAAAAAAAAAAAAAGACAATAAATCTGACCCTGAGTCTGGTAGAATTACGGTAACAACTCAAGCACAGTTTGATGGAATTGATCTTTATGTTCACAAAGCCTGAATTTCTCTGAGAAGCTGCTGTCATAAAAATAACGCATGGAGTAAGGTTGACTCTGAAACACAGGCGTGGGACAAGGCAGCAAAGGGAGAAGTGGAATAAATGACAAATATCACAAGTGATGGAGATTGGTAGGAAGTTATGATGGAGCTCTAGAGATTACTGATTAACACTTAAAAATAAATTGGGGAAAAGTATTTTGATAGCAACATGAGGTGGATGTGGTGCTACTTAGATTGTGCAGGACTTAAAACTAGAAATACAATGGAACATATATAGCAGAACTTAAGAAATTACTGATGTTTACAAATACAGTACTGGGTGAGGTAATTCCTTTTTACTCATGCCTTTTCACTCCTTTTTATTCAGCTGTCAGGAGTTGTCCAGCAGCTAACACAGTAAAAGCTCTGTTCAGTGGGTGTCAGGAGTCACAGTGCTACCAAAATACTCAAAAAGATGTACTGTGGAATACCTAATGAAATACCATAATACTGATAAAGAGGTTTTTTCAGTTCAGAATCACTGTGTTCAACCTTGTCTCTCCCACATCAAAAAGTTCGGGTAAAAGGTAAGTGGGTAACAAATAGCCAAGGACAAATATAGCATGTTTGGGATTATTTCAAATGTCAATATGTGTAAACCAGTAAATAACAGATAGTGTAATTTTTGTAAGGATACAGACAATGTGACCAAAATTAAAAGCAACACCTTTGAAACGGATAAAATGCTTCTCAATGGCCTGCAGAACTGCAGACTCAATTGCATGGGTTTAGTAGGATGAAAAAATGAATTGGATAGATGTACAATGATGTAAAATCGGTTAGGTTGGAAAAGACCTTTAGACCAGCGAGTGCAGCCATTAGGCCAGCACGGCCAAGTCTACCAGTAGCCCATGTTCCCAAGTGCCACCTCTGTTAAATACCTTCAGGGATGCCCACGCCACCACTTCACTGGGCAGCCTGTTCCAATGCTTGACCACCCTTTTGGAAGAGAAACTTCTTCCAAATATCCAATTGAAATCTCCCCATGTGCAAATTGGTAAGTTGGTGAGGGGAGAATAGGACTCTTGTGCTATCACCTGTTATTTGGGAGAAAAGCCTGATCCCCCACTTTGCTGCAACCTCATTTCATGTGAACAATTAAATTAGGGCAGGTGAAAGCTTAATTTGAAAGAATGTTAAAACCTCATGTTTCACGGCTTGATGAAGTAATCAGCATTCATTCTAGACTGTAGAATATATTT